TCAGCAGGTGGAGGTATGAAGGAATTATTTAGAAAGGTGAGCTTTAGGCTGCAACTCACTCTCCATAGTTAGGCGGGTCATGGGTAAAATATTGTACTGTTAACATGATATGTGATCTAGAAGATATTCTTTTTCCAATGGAGTTCAAATTGTGACTACTGTTTTGGTTTGATTACCTGTCTAAATAACCAACACAAGGGTCAGGTTTTATTAGTTCTCGCCTTTGTAATAAACATCAACCAATTCTATTCTATTTAATTTTAAATGGGAGGGTTAAATTGGTTGGGATATTCATATGCTGTCTCCAATGATTATACTTTAGTACAATATTTAGAAAGCATATATGCTTTGTTGTAAATATATATCTGAAACATTTCTAGGCCTTCTCCTAACAACTTGAGCTTTTACATAGCTTGTTTTTAAACATGCTTTTTGATAACTTCTGGTTTTCCTTTCACTCTTTTTGTCTGATGCACAATTAATCAACTTGGTCTTAGGTTGGTAATAGGTCCAGTGAGTTCCACCCAGAAGTGAGAAGAGTGAGGCGTGAAGGATCCTATATTTATGAGGAATTTATGCCAACTGGAGGGACAGATGTTAAGGTTTGGTAGTTTTGAGATTTATGTTGCTTTCTTTTGTTTTTCTCTTAATGTATTTGGAATGTTTCTCCATATCTTTTACACATTAGAATGGTATCTTAGAATTTTGGTAAATGACTGTAGGTGTATACAGTAGGTCCTGAATACGCTCATGCTGAGGCAAGGAAGTCTCCTGTTGTTGATGGTGTTGTTATGAGAAATCCTGACGGGAAGGAAGTAAGCAGCACCTGTCTCTTCTTTGAGATATTCTCAGTTCTCATGATTTACATTTTGTTTGTCCTCGCCTATTCATTTAGCATTACAAGATGGCCATTCTGAGTTATCAGTCAATTATGTGTGTGTATGTGTTCTGGTTCCATCTTGTTGGGTTACTTCTTGGTTAGTGTATGGACAATAATCCATTTGGGTCAGTTCATCATTGTGTTTTAAATATGCTAATTGCATTAAGTCAATGAAACCATGCTTGTTATTTCTATTTATGATTACTGATTACCGACAGAATGCTTTAATATTGATATTATTATTATTTGTATAAAAGAAGAAATTCATTAAGACAAAGAAAAGATGATTACAAAATATAGGAGGACAAGCGATCCTCCTCACAAAATAAAAAATTAAATAAACAGAGAGACAAAGAAACATCAATGAAGAAAAGCTATTCAATCTCTCAAAATATCTGAGAGGAAGCCCTGAGAAAATAGCATGAGCATAAAGCACAAAAATATTCCTTTCTATCCTTCTTTCAAAACCAGTAAATGGACCACTATTATGTGGACCCCAGTCTGTCCACTTCTAAAAGGACAGAATGCTTAATTTATAATAGTTGCTATTTTCTATGTGGATCGCCACTATGATTCATTTGCTGCGTTGGTCGAGAACTTTTATATAAATTTGCATGTGAAATTTCAGTCATTGTCCTTATAAGGAGTGAGGGGTTTGGTACATTGGTTTAAGAGACAAATACTAAGAGAAGGCCATTGAAATTGTCATTATTATTTCAGATACTATTAGGACTAAAGATGGAATAATTCTAGATGGATTCCATCAAAACTTCCATAGCATGAAATTTCAGGTGCATTTGTTTGAAAAGTGGAGAATGGGAAGGTGGAAAATTGGTTAGGGAGTCTAAGTTGTGTGACTTGAGACCAAAGTGAAAACTAGATTGTCTATCTACCATCTAAAATTAGATCAGTGTATATGTATACATCTTAAGAAAGTGAATTAAGGATCTAACTCACCCTTACAAAATTGGCTTGTAAGGTGGGAATTGTTCTCCACTTATATACACCATTTTGCTCTTATCACTAGTCGATGTAGGATGTCTAACACATCCTCTTCACACCAAGGACTGAACAACTTAGTGTGAAGTTTGCAGGTTTGAACATTTACAGGTGCTCCAATAACTATATCATGTATGATAGCAAGTGACTCGATGATCTATAGACACAACAATAATCACTAGGATAAACTCTTATACCATCTTAAGAAAGTGGATTATGGACTAAACTCAACCTTATAAAACCAGTTTGCTAGATAAGAATTATTATCTATTTGACTATTTATATACATTATTTTGACCTTATTACTAGTCGATGTGAGATCTTTAACAATATTAGTGACTAGTAAGTGTTAATTACAGCCATAATTATGCGACTATTGCTTCTCAGTTACAGCACTAACAGACCCAACTCATACTTTAATTGCCAAAATATTTCAAATGGAGTGGAATGGAAAGAATTTGATTTTCACTTATTGTTGCTTGGTGAAGGGTCTCAAATTACTCTTAACCAACTTTTATAATATAGGAGTGGTCAAACACTGTAGTGTACATATGTGTGGCTTAAGCATAAGTGAGTTGCAATCTCAATTGTCCCACATTTTTTGTTGTACCAAGAAAGTTTGATGTAACTATTATTCTAAATTATACCTCCTCAAACAAGCAGTCTAAACCTTCAGACATTTTCTAAAATCTTCCAGGCACCATCCATCTCTTTGTTCTTTTGATTCTTTCTGGTTGCCTAAAGTGTTTTTTTCTGTTTTGTTCGTAATTGTTACAAAATATTTGTTTCCTAATCATGCAAACATCTCATGGTTGTCTTAATTTTGAGAGGATTAATAGAAGGAACAAGCATGTACATGTACCATTGCAAAGCAGGCCAGAATTTATTGCTTGAAACAGTAATTTAAGTTTCATGTTGAAGCATGTTTATCATCTCATTTGGCAGGTTAGATATCCAGTGTTACTGAGTCCTGCTGAGAAGGAAATGGCAAGAGAGGTTTGCATTGCATTCAGGCAAGCGGTATGTTGTATAAATGTGGTAACTGCACGTTAATATAAGATCTTGGTTTTATTTTTTTAAGTGTGTCATTATCTTCTGAAACAGGGTGTCTGGCTCCTTGTTTGTACAGTTATATTTATTTTGTTGATTGTTGCCTTCTGAGTGAAGTTTGGTCTTTAGCTTAGAAATTATGTTCTAAATCTTTTTCCTGATTTAACCATCTTGACAAGTCCTATCATCGAATACCTCATAATGTTTTGGAAAACAAATCTTTGTATTATAGCAGTGGATTTAATTGGAAGTAGTGTAGCTCTAAATATTTTTTCCAAGGATATCCCAAGTATTCTATTTCTTCGCTTAGATATTATAAGTCTCGAGACTGTGAAGCTATGAGCTAACTATTATAGTAATTAGTAAGTAAAATGTGGCTGGGTCAATGAAGTTTTGCACAATGTTGTATGAATTTGAATTTAATGCATATGATTACACTCTTTTGAACACGGACTGAAATAAAATATTATTTGTCACTTAAAGAAAATAATTTGTCTGATCCTCTTCATGTCCTACTATAAATTTTTGTGTTGCTTGCAGGTTTGTGGATTTGATCTCTTGAGAAGTGAGGGACGTTCATATGTTTGTGATGTGAATGGGTGGAGCTTTGTTAAAAACTCATACAAGTAAATTTTGTAATTAGATTTTTTTTGCATTGTGTTTTTTGATATCAGCAGCAGGGTTCAAAATACTTAAATAGTTATTCACGTTCTTTCTATAAACAGAAAATCATAGGTTCAGTTCTTCCCAATTTGATATATATTTGATTTGGAGATATTATAATTGTGCCCTTTTATCCTTAGCAAATATTTGAAAGGATAGATACTCCAATACATGAAAAAATTATAAATGCTACGCTGAGTGATTAGTGAGAATTTCTACATCCAACCAATTTTAATAGGATGTTGAATTCAGATCCCATCCAATAAATCCCCTATTTGCTAAAAGCAACATTTTTAGTAATTGCCATTGGGATTAATATGCATATATAGTTGATCACTGGAAAAGAAATTAGTACCCTTATATTGTTTTAGGCAAATACTGGTATGCTGAAAATCACGTTATTTTCCTTGTTGCTACCGAAGGTATTATGATGATTCTGCCTGTGTGCTGCGGAAGATGTTGTTAGACGCAAAAGCACCTCATCTTTCTTCAGCAATTCCACCAACTTTACCATGGAAAGTAAATGAACTGGTCCAACCTTCTGAGGCACTAACTCGTCAGGGTAGTGGAATTAATGGCACATTTGGACAATCTGAGGAACTGCGTTGTGTAATTGCTGTTATTCGTCAGTATGTTCTTTTCCCTGTTTTATTTTTATTTAATTTGTTAAATGTGAGATTGTTTCTTATATACTCTTGTCTTTTGGCAGTGGTGATAGAACTCCAAAACAGAAGGTGAAGCTAAAGGTTACTGAGGAAAAGCTGCTGAACTTAATGTTAAAATACAATGGTGGCCGACCCAGATCTGAGGTGCTACTATTTTTTAGTTCTAAGAATATGGATTATGAGTCTAACTCAATCCTACTATACTATTTATACATGCATTATTAGGTTTGGTACATATTTAAATGATGGGTAACCCTTTTTTAAATGGATCTAAGATAATTTTAATACCATCTTAAAATGTGAAATATGGGTTTAACTCAACTTTATAATAGCGGCTTGTATGATGAAGGTTGCCCCACATTTTATACATTATTTTGGCCTCATTACTAGTCGATGTGAAATCTCTAACAATACTCTTTTATTAATGTTCATTAAATTTTACTTGAGCTACTGAATTATTGAATTCTGAATCTTCTGTGATTGATGTTTACAGACAAAACTTAAAACTGCTGTTCAGCTGCAAGATCTGTTAGATGCCACACGAATGCTGGTGCCTCGCACTAGGTATGTCACCTGCATAGGCTTCTATACAGATCACATTTGAGCCTCATGCGGCTCATCTTCAATTTCACCCCAAGATTAATGAAATGTCAAACATTGTGTTCGATCTACTACATTCTTTTATTGTGTTTTACAAGTCTAGTACATTCTTAAAACCTTTTATCTTGAGATTTTCGTTGCTTTAAAGAAGAACATGGTTTGGCCAACTTTCTATTTTCACATGAATGTCATTATGCACACTTTTAACCAATGAAATTGCAAGAGAAAGAAAAAAACAAAAATCACATATTTTTTCCCTTTTGGGAGAAGAATTTTATTATAGAAGAGGAGAAATACAGATGTAGCGTACACAATATTCTCTTAAAAGGAGACATGAAGTGAAGAATATCAAATTGAAATGCACATCAAGAAAGCTAAGCTTGCTAACCATGCTACATGAGAGACAAAGAGAGTCTTTTGTGTAACAACCTAGCAGGTCCCTACACTTAAAAAGTCAGCAACTATAGCAACGGAAAACATAATTCTAACCTATTAGGATTACTATACAAGAAGATCCTGGATATACACACAACAATATATATATATATATATGTGTGTGTGTGTGTGTGCGCGCGCGCGCGTGCGCACGCGTGTGTATAGGAAAAAATAATTAACTGAAAACATAAATGTTCCTCAGTGAAACTACAACATAAATCCTGTACATATGTACAATAATCCAACTGGAAACATAGATCCTAGTTGTCGGTCAAGCAACAACTACAAAATAGTTACATCGGGGTAGCTCAAACAACATTGCCATCCTCCAAAATGGCTCCCAAAAACTTGCTCATCCTCCAGTCTAATCCTGTTCTACTCTCATAACAAGTATGATAATCGTTGTTTAACCACAAGGAAAATGCAAGAGTATGTTTGGATTTGAAAGAAACAACATCATATACAAGTATTAACCTAACTATACAACAACTTTAACAACTCAACATTTTGCAACAGCCCAAGGCTCAACTTCACAACATAGATCAACATGCTAACACAATTTTACAACATAACAACATCCCAACTTACAATACAACCATCCAATTTATAATCATATCAACTTAGCATGTGAATACCACAACTATTCAACACAACATATGATCAACACAAAAGTTCAAAACACAACTATTTAACAACACAACAACTTACGTAACATTACAACAAATCAACACATCAACTTCACAATAGTACAATGCGTTGTCACGCATTTCAACTAAGAGATCTCTTACAACACAAGTGAGCAGTCTAAGTGATTTAACCCAATCAAATCAACTTAATGTGATCTTTTTGGGCTTATTAGATCAACAATAAATTTGGATAAAAATTCACAGCACAAGGTCTTTCATCTGAAACTGGCACTGAAGGTGAGATTTGAGACAACAAATACCATTAGAGTCATCATCAATAATGACAATGTCATCAACATATACCACTAAATAAGTGCAAAGACCATATGAGGAGTAAAGAAAGAAAATAGAGTGGTTAGCCTCACATTGAGTCATACCAAACTCAATTAAGGCCAAGTTGAAGTGACTAAACTAGGCACGAGGAGATTGCTTCAGGCCATAAATAGAACGACGAAGGCAACATACAAGGTGAGATTCATCAGAAGTAGTAAAGCCAGGGGTCTGGTTCATATAAACCTCTTCGTGCAATTCACCATTTAAAAATGCATTTTTAATATCCAACTAGTGCAATGGTCAATGACGAATGGCTGTCATAGCAAGAAACAAACGAACAGAAGTCATCTTGGCTATAGGAGAGAAAGTATCCCCATAATCAAGGCCATAGATCTGAGTATAACTGTTGGCAACCAACCATGCTTTAAAGCATATAATATTGCCATCCGGTGCAACATTCACTATGTACACCTATCGACAACCAACTATAGACATGTCAGGAGGCAAAGGCACCAACTCCCATGTGCCACTAGTCTACGAAGTATCCATTTCATCCAACATTGCCTGTCTCCACCTAAAATCAACCATAGCTTCCCTTGTAGACCTAGGAATAGCAACAAAATCCAAAGAGGAAACAAAAGAAAAGTAAGGAGACAATCGATGACAAGAAAGAGTGCATGCATATAAAGGGTTAGGATTATGGGTAGATCAAATACCTTTGCGGATAGCAATAGGAAGCTCGAGTAAAGGAGGTTCGATTATAGGGAGTGTTGTCGGATGACCGTTTGGAGTAGGAGATGATGCTTGGAGGATGTGTATGTGTAACCACCTATAGATGTCGTGTCCTTCGCTGATAAACAAGTAATGGTAGTGGATCAATGATTACAATCGGAGTTGGAACATCAGGTTGAACATCCAGAGAAGGATGACTGTCAACATCCTCAGAGAAGAAAGGAGAAGACTCAAAGAAAGTGACATCAGCTGAAACTAGGTACTGTTGAAGTTGTGGACAAAAGCAACAATATCCTTTCTAGAGACAAGAATACGCAAGAAAGACACACTTAAGGGACTGTGCAGATAGTTTATCTCTTCCTAGGGTGAGATCATTGACAAAACATGTACATTCAAAGACACGAAGTGGGAAAGGATAGAAGTCATGTTGAAGATACAAGATGGTGTATGGAATTGTGTAAATAAAATTCTAAGCTCTAGATACCATGTGGTGATTTAGGAATTGTGTGTAAATCTTCGGCATTCATAACTCTTATTTATGATAAAAAAAAAAGGATTTACATGATATGATTAATATGAGAGAAAGAATTGAGAGAAGGAGAGATTGAAAAGATTGTATTATGATTAGAAAAATAAGAAGTTGATATCTGTTAGATATCAGTTACATATATATAGAGCTAACAAACCTAACCAACTCATCTAACCAACTTGATGAGTTGGCAATATTAACAGAAAACAGAAAATATACAATATTAATACAAGAATAATAAAAGTATTTATTATTCTAGTCTCTTCTCTAATACACCTCCCACAAGCTCAAGGGGGATGAAGCATGTCAGATGGATCAGCAACATTGAGCTTGGAACGCAGAGATAGAAAACGCTTGGGAGACAGTGCCTTGGTTAAGAGATCTGCATATTGATGCTGGGAAGGAATATGCGAGACAACAAGAGCTTTGCTGATGACTTTTTCGCGAACAAAGAAGATGTCAAGTTCCATATGCTTAGATCTGGAGTGAAGAACAGGATTGTGAGACAGTGCTACTGTGCTTTGATTATCACAGGCACTATAGGAGTGTTGAGACGAACTTTCAGTTCTTGTAGAAGGGACTGAATCCACAAGACTTCAGTAACAGCTTGAGCTAAAGCACGATATTCGGCCTTAGTACTTGACCTTGCAACAAGCAATTGTTTCTTGGACCACCAAGACACAAGATTAGGACCAAGGTAAATACAAGCTGCCGAGGTAGATCTTCTATCATTGGGATCAGCTGCCCAATTAGCATCAGTGAAGGCAGTAAGGTTGAAAGAGGGAGAGGACCGAGCAGGCGTGAACACTAGACCATGTTTAAGAGTGCCTTTGAGATACCTAAGTATCCTTTTAACCACCTTCCAGTGTTCCTCCATTGGAGAGCACATGAACTGACTTATTGACACTAAAGGCAATTTCAGGTCGTGCAATTGTGGCATATTGCAATGCACCAACTACATACCTATACAAGGTAGGATCATCAAACGAAGTTCCTGTTTTAGCAAGTTGCTGACCTCCAATCATAGGAGTGGAGATTCCCTTAGAGTCTTCCATTTTAACCCTGGTAAGAAGATCAGAAATGTATTTGTGTTGAGATAACAGTAACCGGCCATCAGAAAGAGACTTGACTTCAATACCCAAGAAGTAGTCAAGCGTGCCAAGATCTTTAAGAGAAAAGATTTCATTGAGGTGATCAATGAATTTTTGCAATAAGGAGGAAGAATTGCCAGTGAGGATAATATCATCCACATAAATGAGCATGTAGACAGTGGCAGATGGAGTAGAAAAAATAAACAAGCTAGGATCGCACTTGCTTTTGTGGAACCCAAGCTTTAGCAAAACAGAAGTTAATCTGTCAAACCAGGCACGAGGAGCCTGTTTGAGACCGTAAAGAGACTTGTGAAGTTTACAGACAAGATGTTTGCTACTAGGTTCAATGAAGCCAGGAGGCTGAGACATGTAAATGTCTTCCTCAAGCATTCCATTAAGGAATGCATTATTAATGTCAAGTTGGCGAAGTGGCCATTGAAAAGTCACAGCAAGGGAGAGCACAATCCGGATGGTGACAGGCTTAACAACAGGAGAAAAGGTTTCAGAGAAATCAACCCCAGGTTGCTGATGAAACCCTTGGCAACAAGTCGGGCTTTGTACTTGTTGATAGAGCCATCAGGATTCTCTTTAAGATGAAAAACCCATCTGCAGCCAATGGGTTTTCTACCAGAAGGTAATTCAACTAAAGTCCAGGTGTGATTGGCATGTAAAGCAGTGAGTTCAGCTTGCATGGCAGAAAGCCAATGAGGGTCAGTAAGAGCAGATTTGACAGTTTTGGGTTCAACATTAGACAGCAAGAGTGTAGGGTTAATTCTGGGTTGTATAATCCCATTTTTTGAGCGAGTGATCATGGGATGAGCATTACGAGGTGGGGCTGGAGGTGAATGTGAGGAGGATGAAGCAGTAGGTGAAGTAGTAGAACTGTTGACAGGCGTAGAAGAGGGAAGAAAATTGGACTCAGATGATCCAGAACTGGCGGTAATGGCAGGTGATATGAGGGTAGAGGAAGATGGATTGTGTGAACAGACAAGGGAGGGAAGTATAGAGACAGAGGTGGCAGGAATAGAAGCTTGGGTTGTTGTAACGAAGAGGTCATTATAAGGAAATCTTCCTTCATTGAAGATCACATCTTTGCTGATGTATATACGGCCAGATCTGCTTAAACATTTGTAACCCTTATGACTAGGAGAGTATCCCAAGAATACACACTCCTCGGACCTAGGTTGAATCTTGTGTTGATTGTAGGGTCTTAGTAATGGAAAACAAGAGCAACCGAAGATCTTTAGAAATGCATAGTCTGGATCCTTGTTATGAATTAGTTTGTAGGGTGATTGAAAACCAACAGAGGAGGAGGGAAGTCTGTTGATTAAGTAGGTAGCAGTTAAAAAGGCATGATCCCAAAAGTTTAGTGGTAAGGCCGAATGATGAAGCATTGCCAATCCGAGTTCAACTATGTGCCTGTGTCGTCGTTCAACAGTGCCGTTTTGATGATGTGTATAAGGACAAGTGAGTCTGTGAAGAATGCCTTCTTGTTGGAAGAATGGTATTAAGGTGCGAAATTCACCTCCACCATCTGTTTGAACAAACTTGAGAGGCGTTTGGAACTGTTTCTCAGCTAGGGCTTTAAAATTCTGAAAGTTGGAGGACACGTCTGATTTTCTACGAAGAAGATAAATCCACACGTATTTGGTGCAAGCGTCAACACACGTTAAGAAATACAAATAACCACAACTAGATTCTAAAGATGCAGGTCCCCAAACATCTAGAAAAACAAGTTCAAGGGGTTTGGAGTAAATCGTAGTGGAAGGTTGAGAAGGAAGCCTGTGAGACTTTGCAATACAGCATGAGTCACAAAAATCAGAAATTTTATTGACAGTAGGAAGGCGAATATTACAAGTTTGTAGGGCTTTAGTTAGGGAATCATGATGAGGATGCCCTAACCGTAAGTGCTACTGTTTATAGGTATTGGAAACAACATGATTACATTTTTCAGAAAGGAAAATACAAGGGTCAGATTTAGGAAAAACTAAATTCTGCTCAATATCAATATTGAAAGATGTCTTCTTCGCCAGATGCGGATGAAAGTGATAGAGACCATCTTCACCAAGTTTCCCTTCAAGAAGAGTCTCGTTCAAATCCTGTGATTTGACAAAACAGGAATGAGGATAGAAAACGAAGTAGACATTGTTGTCTTTGGCAAATTTTGAAACACTTATAAGATTTTTGGTCAAAGTGGGAACAAGTAAAAGGTCTTTGAGAGACAAAATTGTGGAAGGATGCATGGGGGACCGAAACATATTAGAACCTATTGAGGCAATAGATGTACCTTGGCCATTGGCCATAGCAATGTGCTCTGCGCCAGTGAATTGAGCACTTTGCAAGAGATACTGAGGGTCCGGAGTGGCATGGTGGGAAGCACCAGAATCTGGGATCCATGCAGTGACAGTGTTTAGAGTTGGGGCAGCATGTTGAGCAGGAGATGCAGATGCAGTACGCGGATGATGTGGTGGATTGGCGGTTGCTGCAGGATAGGTGAACCCAGGAGGTTGAAAACCAGAACGAGGAAAGGAGCCACCCAAGGAATCGGGGGACCACGAAGCTGGACCAGAATGTCCAAGCATATTAACAGTTCCATAGTAGGGAACAACAGCAGGGCCAGGGTGTTGAGACACATACCCATGTTGAGAATTGGGACCATAGGTGGGGTAAGGGGTAAACAATGAATGAAAAGGCAACCGAAAACCACCCAAGGATAGGCTATTGGAAAGCTGATAACACGTGGAGGCTTCATGTCCACGTTTGTGACAAATCTGGCATTGAACAGCAGACCCACGATTTCTTCCTCCACGAGATCCACGACCACGTCCTCCATGATTATTGAAGCCAGCTTGGGATTGAGGCGAAAAATTTTGAACAGTATTAGGCTGAGGGTTTGTCATCTGAGGCGGCTGGAAGGCCAAATTGACATTAGGGACACCAGTTGGAACAGGAGTGGCTTGAGCAAGATTGATGGACAGGGGTTCTTGGATAGCAGCGGCCTTTGCTTGGTCCAGTCTTGCTTCCTGAGCAAGAATCATGTTCTCAAGTTCGGCAGGGGAAAGATTATCATCACGGTAGACAAATGCGGTGACCGTGGAAATTAGAGAATCATATTCTGGTGGAAGACCACCAAGAATGCACTCAGCATGTTCACGAGGCGAAACAGGACTGCCAATGGAGGCAAGGGTCTCAACAATGATGCTGATGCGAAGGAGATAGTCGGAACACGATCTTGTTCCTTTCTTGATAGTGCGAAGCTCGAGTCGTAATTGCGTGGCTTTGATTTTGGTGAGTGACTGAAAATGCTGAAATACCAAATCCCAAATCTTGTACGAATGACGGCACGAGACAACACGAGCCTGAATGGATTCAGAAAGTGTTGCAAGAAGCCAAGAAAACAACAGCGAGTCTTTGCAGTCTCAGGCAGTATATTCGGGATTGACAGCATTGGCATCACGATCCTCAGCAGTAAGGAACTTCAGGGGAATTTTTGGATTGACGACAAAGCGTTCAAGATCATGTGCGCGGATGACAGCGGTAACTTGTTGCTGCCAGGTCATAAAATTCCTTTCATCCAGTTTTCATGTGACGGATTGGGAGAAAGTGTGGGAAATTGGAGCAAGATTGAAAGAAAAGTCACAGTAGAATGTGCAAGACCAGTGCGAGCAGAAGCAGAAGAGCACACGAACGAAAAACCAGAGCACGAAGAACAGAATCAGCGCGCGAAGAGCGCGAAGAACAGAGTCGCACAGAAGGGGCGCAAGAAGCAAGCCACACGAAGAGTAAACAATCAGATGAAGAAGCAGGATCTCAGGCACGAAGAGCAGAATCGCGCAAAGAAGGGGCACAAGAAGCAAGCCACACGAAGCAAACAACCAGATGAAAACCAGGATCTCACCGTGCTCACGATGATACCATATGAGAGAAAGAATTGAGAGAAGGAGAGATTGAAAAGATTGTATTATGATTAGAAAAATAAGAAGCTGATATCTGTTAGATATCAGTTACATATATATAGAGCTAACAAACCTAACCAACTCATCTAACCAACTTGATGAGTTGGCAATATTAACAGAAAACAGAAAATATACAATATTAATACAAGAATAATAAAAGTATTTATTATTCTAGTCTCTTCTCTAATAATTAACCCTAATAAATCTCCACAATATCTTAACAATTCTAAAAGCTGAAACTTTTGGGCTGATTTGGACTTTTGCTTTTGCATGGTTGAGCTTCTATGGCCTGGCCATAGAACAAAATAACAATCAAGCCTTGTCCCACCAAATTGGTCAAATTCATGGATCATAATTATTTATCTGTGGAAGATACCTTAATTTCCTCTTATTTGCATTATTTATTTCCTTCCAAATGAAATTTGCTTATTTTTTCCAAATAAAGTTTCCACAATCCTTTTTTTCCATGTTCACGGTAGAATATATCTTTCATTAGCTAAGTTCAAAAATTGACTCTTTTTTTGTTGCATGTATACTTTGCTATTTCTACAACCCAGTAGTAGTTGCTACCAGTTTTTTTAGTCAATATATGTGTATGCTAAGCCAGAGTTTTGAATTAGCTTTGTCTTTGTATTTATTTAGACCAGATCTAGAAAGTGACAGTGAGGCTGAAGATGTTGAGCATAGTGAAAAGCTTCGTCAAGTTAAAGCAGTTCTTGAGGAGGTTATTAATTCTTTTGACAGTGTTTTTTCTATGATACTCATGAGTATGTTTTGTATTATGAACCCACTATTAATTGAAATTTGAAAATTAAATTTCTTTTTATCATAGATTTTGTTATTTTTTATGACTTCTCTAATAACTTGTACCCTTTGAGTGGATATTTTGAAGACTTAAAGGAAATTTCAGTTTTACATTAGCTGTCATATAAGGATCTACTAGAAAAACTTTCATAAATTATTGGAGTATAGTTTTACTCATTACTTATATGTACAAAAGTAGTGCAGGATTTATAGAGAAGTTTCTGTTTTATTATTTTCTATTGTATTGTTAATCACATTTATTGTCTGATATAGCCCAACACCTTCTATTAGAAGTTGTTGGCTCTATATAAACACAACTTGTAGTCTCTATTCAGTGTAGAAAACATATTTTACATTTCAGAAATATTCTTTCTTTCTATTGGAGTATAGTTTTACTCTTTACTTATATATGTAGAATAGTAATGTAGATTATGTTTTATCTTTTTCTTCACTGTCACATTTATTGTCTTTATTATAGATCAACATAGATTGGCTCTATATAAATCTATCTTGTATTCCTTGTCCAGTTAGTGAAAACATATTTTGCTTATTGAAACATTCTCTCATCTTCTCTCTTCCGCTCTCTCTCTCTCTTTCTCTCACACAATTCTAATATGGTATCATAGAGCTACTCGATCCTCTTCCCCTTCTCTCTTCTCTGTTCTTCTTGACAATTTTGTCATGGCTAAATCAACTCCTCCAGCGGTTTCTTCTCCACCACCGCCGCCGCCTCCTCCACCCATCAATGCTACACCCCTCAATACTGTTCCCTCAAAGAACCCTCCCACTAATCCCCCTCTGTCTCTTACCTTTTCCCACACCATATCAAAAAAACTGGACACCAAGAATTATCTTCTTTGGTGCCAGCAAGTCAAATCGGTAATCAAAGGCCACAGACTCCATCATTTTCGTGTTAACCCACAAATTCCCCAGAAGTATCTTTCCATCACTGATCGTGATTTTGGTCAGATATCAGAGTCCTATCTTGCCTGGGAACAGCAAGATCAACTATTGCTATCTTGGCTCCAATCTTCCATGTCTAAAGACATGCTTACTAGGGTTATAGGTTGCAAGACGTCCTTTCAATTATGGGACAAAATACATTCCTACTTCCTTCTCACATGAACGTCAAAGCTCGTCAACTTCGCAATGAACTATGCAGCACTAATCTTGACAATCAGACCATTTCCGACTATGTTCTCCGAATTCAAACCCTTGTTGATGCTCTAACCGCCATTGGTGATTCAGTTTCTGCAAAAGAGCATCTTGACATCATTCTTGAAGGCTTATTGGAAGAATATGAATCAACCGTATCACTCATCAGCAGTCGTTTTGACATGCTGTCCATAGACGAAGTTGAGACCTTGCTTCTTGGCCATGAATCTTGCCTTGACAAATTCAAAAAGAAAGTTGTTGCATCTATCAATGTCACTACCCCCAACCCTGATCCCTCTTTATTGCACCCACAAGCAAATCTTGCTCATCAAGAACCCGACCCCAATTTGCGCAATGTCGTGGAGGTCGCACAAATTTTCGGGGTGGTCATTTCCCTAATCGTGTTGGTCATGGACGAGGCAGATTTGCTGGATTTCAATGCCAGGTCTTCCATTGCTATGGACATGTTGCTTCTTCTTGCTACTATAGATTTGATGAGACTTTTATCCCAGCCTCCCACTGAATGCACCCACGTTCCCCTCTACCAACCACAATGCAAATGCGAGTTCCTAGTACAACAGTCAAACTATTCCAACCCAGTACTTCCCTTCACCCTCCCATCAACACGCTCACCCTCCCATCAACACGCTCACCCTCCACCCCACCAACATGGTATTCTTGGACCTAGACCACAACCCCCCTCACAAGTCCACTTTGCCTCCTCACATACACAACCTCAAGCCATGATTGCCTCATCTTCCTCCTCGGGTAACAATACTTGGTATCTGGACTCTAGGGCTTCAAACCATGTAACCAATGTCTCTCAAAATATTCAACAGTTTACTCTTTTTGAAGGACTGGATCAAATTCACGTTGGTAATGGACATGGTCTTCATATTAATTCCACAGGTGTTACTACTTTTCCCTCCTCGACAAATCCTAAATTTCATTTTTCTCTAAACAATCTGCTGTTTGTTCCTTCCATTACCAAAAACCTAATCAGTGTTAGTCAATTTTCCAAAGACAATTCTATCTTTTTTGAATTTCACCCTTCCGCTTGCTTGGTAAAATCACAGGATACTAAAAAAATCCTTCTCCAAGGCTCGGTTGGTCTGTATCAATTCCCTGCTTTGCTTCCCACCACCAGCAAAGAACTTGTCCAGCGTTTTCAAACTGCTACATCTCCCTCTGTTAACATTGCCAGCAACAAAACTGTTTCTTTTGCCACTTGGCATTCTAGATTAGGTGATCCTAATGCTGATGTAATGAAACTTGTTTTCCGAAACTTCAACATTCAATCTATGAACAATATTGAATCAGATTTTTGTGCCTCTTGTTGTCTTGACAAATCTCATAGATTACCCTCAAATCTGTCCAAAACTGTTTACACCACACCTTTTGAATTAATTTTCAGTGATTTATGGGGACCTGCACCAGCCACGTCTACATGTGGCTATCAATATTATCTCACCTTTGTTGATGCTCACACATGCTTTACATGGATCTATCTTCTCAAAAACAAAGCCCAAACTCTTGCCATCTTTAAGCAATTTCATACTATGGTTAAGAATCAATACAACCAACCGATCAAAGCCTTACAAATGGATTAGGGTGGTGAGTATCGCCCCTTTACAGTGTATCTCAATGATGTTGGAATTCAACATCGTATCATATGCCCACACACACATCATCAAAATGGAGTTGTCGAACGAAAACATAGGCACATTGTTGAATTTGGCCTCACCTTGTTAGCCCAAGCTAATTTGCCTATGGAATTCTGGGATCATGCCTTCCTCACTAGCGTTTATCTAATTAATCGTCTTCCATCTTCCTCTATTCAAAATGTGGTTCCATATTACAAACTTTTCCACCAAAATCCAGATTATCACTTTCTCAAAGTCTTTGGCTGCTCTTGTTTTCCACATCTTAGACCTTACAACAAAAACAAACTTCAATTTTGATCACAAGAATGTGTATTTCTGGGGTACTCAACTTCACACTAAGGCTACAAGTGCCTTGCTGCTGATGGTCGTCTCTATGTTTCTAAAGATGTTATATTTAATGAAACTAAATTTCACTACAAGGATCTCTTCTCTCCGACCACTAGCCATGCTTCTCAAAGCTTGATCCAGGTTCCTCTTACTGTGACCCACACTCAAACCTCTACACCCTACTCCTCACCAATGCCCTTACATGAATCCAACTCAATCCCCACTCATCAAATGTCACCCACTATGGAAGCCGAGCCTTACACCCCAGCAACCTCACCAAATATGTCCTCTGAATTCTCTCAAGTCGTTACCATGGGTACCTCTCCACCCAATTTATCCGTCCCCACCTCACCTGTCCCTGAATCCGATACACTACCATTCATTCATCCCTCCAATGTTCACCCTATGACAACAAGAGCAAAAGAGGGCATTGTCAAACCACGTCTTCAACCCACACTTCTATTACCCCATGCTGACCCCAAAACAGTCAAACAAGCCTTATCCAATTCAACCTGGTCTGTTGCAATGTAGACAGAATACAACGCCCTTCTTAGTAATGGGACATGGTCTCTTGTTCATCTACCCCCACATAGAACTGCCATAGGCTGTAAATGGGTCTTTCGTGTTAAAGAAAATCCTGATGACACTATCCAAAAGTACAAAGCCCGTCTTGTGGCAAAGGGGTTCAATCAACAATTTGGATTTGACTATAATGAAACCTTCGCACCTGTCATCAAACCTGTCATTGTTCGCCTTATCCTCACTCTTGCCTTAACCCATCATTGGCCTCTTCAACAACTAGACGTCAAGAATGCATTTTTAAATGGAACCCTTGATGAGGAAGTGTATATGATTAAACCCCCAGGATTTGAAACCTCTGATAAAAACCTAGTTCGTAAAATTCACAAAGCCATCTATGGGCTCAAACAAGCACCCCGTGCTTGGTTTGAGAAGTTAAAATCGACTTTACTGCAGTTTAACTTTCAAGCAAGCAAGTGTGATCCATCCTTGTTCGTATACTCACATGCCAACAATGTCATCTACATCTTGGTATATGTAGATGACATTATCATCATCAGCAACAATTCAACACTTCTTCATACACTTGCTTCTCAACTTCACTCAACCTTTTCCCTTAAAGATCTTGGTGATCTTGATTACTTTCTAGGCATTGAAGTAAAAGCGCAGTCTGATGGCTCCCTCATCCTAACTCAAAGCAAATATATCTGGGATCTCTTAAACAACACAGATATGGAAGCCTCAAAACCTATTTCTTCTCCAATGGTTAGTGGCTGCAAACTTTCAAAAGTTGGCACTGAAGATTTTCTAGATGCGTCTCTCTACTATTCAGTAGTTGGTGCTTTACAATATGCTACCATAACAAGACCCGAAATTAGCTTCTCAGTAAACAAAGTCTGTCAATTTATGTCTCATCCTCTTGCACATCATTGGTCAGCTGTTAAACGTATTTTCCGCAATCTAAAGGGCACTACCTCTTGGGGTCTCCATCTGCAACCAGCTCCATCCAACTCCCCTTTATCCATTCACGCCTATTGTGATGCAACTGGGCGTCTGATCCTGATGATAGGAGATCTACATCAGTAGCCTCTATCTTTCTTGGACCAAATCTTGTGTCCTGGTGGTCCAAAAAAAGCAATCTGTTGTTGCTCATTCCAGCACTGAAGCAGAATATAGAAGCCTTGCTCTTGCCACAGTTGAAGTTACTTGGATACAAACCTTGCTCTCTGAACTTAAAGTTCGTCATTCACCTCCAATCATTTTCTGTGACAACTTGAGCACAGTGGCCCTAGCTCACAACCCTGTTCTTCATGCACGCACCAAGCACATAGAATTAGATCTGTTCTTTGTTCGAGAAAAAGTAGCTGCCAAGCATCTTCAAATTGTGCATGTTCCAGCCATAGATCAATGTGTTGATGTTCTCACAAAAGCACTATCTCCTGCGCGGTTCTGTGTTCTTCGATCCAAGCTTCAAGTAGTTGAGTCTCCTCATCCTACTTGAGCTTGCGGGGGGCTATTGGAGTATAGTTTTACTCCTTACTTATATATGTAGAATAGTAATGTAGATTATGTTTCATCTTTTTCTTCAGTGTCACATTTATTGTCTTTATTATAGACCAACATAGATTGGCTCTATATAAATCTATCTTGTATTCATTGTGCAGTCAGTGAAAACATATTTTGCTTATTGAAACAATCTCTCATCTTCTCTCTTCCGCTCTCTCTCTCTCTTTCTCTCACACAATTTGGAGTTTGGGACACAGACTCTAATGAGGGAACAAAAAAAATTAATTCTTTTCTTTCTCATAATATTGAGCTATAAGGTTGAATGCATTGTCTTCCTACATGGGTAAAGCCTCTGACTTGTTGACTAAAGATTAGGCAAGAGTATGAAAAAGTGGAAACACTTTCCTACCTGGGTTGTCAATCATCAAAAATGAAATTAATGATGTTTCTCTGTTGTGCATAATACAGGATATTGTCTGTTAGCTGTGACATGACAAGCATATTGATACAGCATATACTCTTGGTGTCCTTTTAAAGCCTTTATAATTGCTATCTTTACATATTGTTAATCAAAGGCTTTAAGTGTTTCATTTCAATTCCTTTCTCCAACATTATCAGGGAGGACATTTCTCTGGCATATATAGGAAAGTTCAACTAAAGCCACTAAAGTGGGACAAAGTGACAAAAGGCAATGGTGAAGTTGAAGAACGACCTGTTCAAGCTCTTATGATTCTTAAATATGGTGGTGTTCTTACACATGCTGGCAGAAAGCAGGTTCTGATTAATAGACATAAGATACAAATATTTCTACTCAGTTTGAGGCTGAATATGATTATACTGCTGTTTTTGTTGAGAATAAATAAGAAACTTTCATTTAAAATCTTCTTTCCTAGTTGTATGAATTACCTTCTCTTTTTGCAGGCTGAAGAACTGGGGAGATATTTCCGGAATAAAATGTATCCAGGTAAAAATAGCTTTTCTTGAAGTATTGAAGTTGAGAGTTTGAAGAAAATTTATTGTATTCAGAAATATGAATTCTGTCTTATAAAAAGAATATTGTATCAACTATTCAGAGCTGTACAGAAAAAGCAACCAAACATTAACCATCTGTAACTGAGAGTTGGTTAGATAATATCTCAATAGAACAGCAGTATCAGTGATATAGGATCTGAACCTTGGCCATCCAATCCTTGCAAAGTTGCAATACCATACACTGCATTGCCACTAATGAGGAATTTTGCCTAGTCACTGGTATGTCAGTGCGTTAGAGGGTGTGAGCTGTTCCTTTCAACTCTGATCTGCCGACTTGTCTCATATTCATTCTAGAGATCAGCCCAGTCATTCAATCCAGTTTATTCTTTCTCTTTCTCAATCTATTCACTCCATGCAACCATTGCACATCATTTTCATCCTCAGTCTGGTGTTTTTTCACATCGAGTTACTGTGAGAAAAGTAGATCAAAAGGCATTAAGTGTTGTCTCTTGAAGGATTTATAGAAATTTTAGTTTTTGGTTGAAACAAATGACACTTAGATCCGTGTAGTTGATCTTAACTAGGGGGAAGTGGCTTGGTTTTGATTGTTGAACAGGCTGTGTGCATAGTCTATTATATCATTATAAAATACTATGTAAGGAGATGGACCTGATTGTCTATGTTGCCAACAGTGGGTCTCATAATCCCAGTGGTCTATATTATGCAGGTTGTGTTGTATTCAAATACATACTTGATACAGATACAATGAGTGCAAAGAAAAAAATGGGGGTATTTGTAATTGTTTGTGTTTTAATCCATCTAAGATATGTTTCATACAAGATCATGCATTGTCATTTCGTGTAATCAACTTGACAGTGGTCTGTACTATATATAAAGGTAAATCTCTGTGTGGTTTAAAATTGCAGGAGAAGGTACAGGGCTGCTTCGCCTCCATAGCACATACCGTCATGATCTCAAGATTTACAGCTCTGATGAGGGTCGTGTGCAGGTATGGCATAATCAAAAGAAGGCCAAGTGCTTTTTTTTATTGGTTGCTACATTTTTATATATATTGTACCTGTATGATATCTAGATATTGTTATTAAGCCTAATTTGTCCTTTGGCATCATATCTGAGCCATTTTTTTCATGACCCATGTTAAACAGATGTCTGCAGCTGCTTTTGCCAAAGGTCTTCTTGACCTAGAGGGGCAGCTAACTCCAATCCTGGTTTGTTTTCTTTCCGCTGAAGAAAATATTAGATATTTCTTTCATTGGATATGTTTGACTGATTTGGTTATTTTGTTTGAAGGTTTCCCTTGTTAGCAAGGACTCTTCCATGTTGGATGGGCTTGAAAATGCCAGTATTGAAATGGATGAAGCCAAGGTATTTAATCTCTTTGGTTATTTATATTGCCTTCTTTATTATAGGTGGTGAAAATGGATTGACGTTGGAAACAAAAAGAGATATATTGCTCAACATTTAAGAGATGGATAGATACTGGAAGCGATACTTGTTTTTCTTTTTGATTCTCTTAGCCTTTACAGCATTGAATCCCACAACCAACAGAATTCATTAATAAATTTGGACCGGGTTTATCATTTTTGTGGTCTTTAAGGGTCTGGATATTACTAGCTGGGAATGGGAGCATGTAAATGGCACACACACCTTTCCTGGAGAGTAACCGTTTAGTCAAAATTGGTCAATTTTGTGCATGATATTTTTGCAAATTCATAAAATTAATTTTTGAGTCGATGTTGCGGAACTTGTTACCAGAATTTGCAATTTCATAGTGTTTTATTTGGTTAAATTATATGCACTATCAATCAGTGTAAAAAGTTATTTTAAGATAGTTATACTAAAAGTCAACAAACTCGCTATAAATGTGTTTTGATCGCTATACTATAAAATTTTACATATCAATTCATCGCTTTCAGCTCAACAATACACCTCTAATACAGCTAAATATTATTGTCTCAGCTTTATCACCTAGTCATCACAGCACATTCATCAAATATAACTTAGCTCAGCATATAACAACATTGATTAACAAGTTCAACACAATTCAACAGCCAACAACATATATTTCAATGTACTTAATCGACATTGGACATATGGTTATTTTCGAATTACTATATGTATATATCAATACATATAGACAATTTGTTTGTATTAGTACATTATTTTACTTTTATATTTATATTCTATATATATGTATGACACATTCCCATTCCATTATTTTATTGTATATTTTCCTTTATTATCGTTAGATTCAGTCCATTTTTTCCTTATCATATTAAATTATAATATTGAAAATAAGGACAAAGCTAATAAAAACAATTACAACTTTTTTCTAAAAATAACAAATAGATTTATTTTTAATATATCAACTTTTTTTCTTTTATTGAAAAAACATTTTATATAACATCAAAGCAAGGTATCAATAAAGTTTAATACAATCGTTTTATATGTTTAAAATAAATAAATTTCTGATTATTCATATAGTGCAAATAAAAGAAAATAATGTAAGTAAATATTATTAAAAAAATTAACTTTCAGTACCGAATGTGATTTGTTTAAACTCAATGGCATAATTGTGAACATAGTCCCACTCTGTAATTTATATTAATGATTTTTGATTTCAATGATGTACCGTATGTAACGATCCAGCTGGTCATTACACTTCTAACTACCGCACACTGAAAAAACTAGACAGAATAGAACGAGTATATAATTATAGAATCTAGAATATAAATATATACAATGTTCCAATCCAACTAGAGTTAGGGTGTACAACACAAAGTACAATCAATGCTACTATCCCAAGTAGCTACATAGCACACCCGTACAACTTATACCCCTCAACAATATTAGCACCGCAATGCGGCAATAGCAGCACTGCTTAGCAGCAACAACAACACCACTCGAGTGGCTATAACGGCACCGCAAAGCGGCAACAACAGCATCGTCTTAACGGTTATATCAGCACCACATATGTGGCAAATAACAGCACCGACTTAGCGGCTATAGCATCACACAACTCAGCACAACACAACACAGCACAACACAACATAACACAGCACAACAATTCAACACACTTATTGTTTATCACAATTCAGCCCAACCTACTGTGGTTCCGCTATACTATAAAATTTTACATATCAATTCATCGCTTTCAGCTCAACAATACACCTCTAATACAGCTAAATATTATTGTCTCAGCTTTATCACCTAGTCATCACAGCACATTCATCAAATATAACTTAGCTCAGCATATAACAACATTGATTAACAAGTTCAACACAATTCAACAGCCAACAACATATATTTCAATATCCCCTTTCGCGCCCGGCGGGCTCGAGGTCGCGCCCAGCGCGGCTCAACCAGAGAGCACCAGGGGCCATTGCGCCCATCGCAAGAGTTCTCGCGCCCGGCGAGACTCAACCCGAGAGCACCAAGGCTCTCACGCGCCTGGCGCAATTCCAAATTACGCCCAGCGCCTGCCTGGCAGAGACTCAAGGAGTCTCGTGCGCTCTGCGTGGCCTAACCCGCGCCCAGCGTGGGGAAGGCAGAGACCTACCAAGGTCTCGCGCCCGGCGCAATTCGCATTGCGCCCGATGTGCTCTTGGCAGAGACTCCCAAGGAGCCTCCGTGCCCAGCGAGTCCAAACGTGCGCCTTGGACATGCTAGAGAATGGAATGGCCTTTACTATCTTGAAAATCCAAGTCTGTCCAGTAAGAACAGAATCTCGCACTCCTTCATATCTAAATCTATGATGACCAAGAAAGAAAAAACATGCTTTATCATTGTCGGCTGGGACATCCTTCTTTTGGAGTTATCAAAATTATGTTTCCTTCTCTATTTACCAAGTTAGATGTTGAGAGTCTACATTGGGAGGTGTGTGAACTTGCTAAGCACAAGCGTGTTTCTTTTCCAATAAGTAATAAAATTAGCAATTTTCCCTTTTATCTTGTTCACATTGATGTATGGGGGCCTTCTAATATTCCAAATGTGTCTGGTGCTCGATGGTTCGTCACCTTTATAGATGATTGCACAAGGGTCACTTGGGTCTTCTTACTTAAACAAAAATCTGAAGTTAGTTCTGTCTTCCTAAACTTCCATTCCTTGATAAAAAATCAATTTGGTGTTAATATTAAGAGACTTAGGTCAGATAATGCTAAAGATTACTTCAATCATGTCCTTAATTCTTTTTGTCAAAAAGAAGGTATAATTCATGAGTCTTCTTGTGTCAAAACACCACAGCAGAATGGGGTCGTAGAGAGGAAAAATGGGCATTTATTAAATCAGACCCGAGCATTGTTGTTCCAAAATAGTGTCCCAAAAAATTTCTGGGGGGAAGCTGTTCTTACAGCAACACACCTTATCAACAGACTACCCTCTAGAGTCTTAGGATCAAAAAACCCTATGGAAGTTTTGTCATCTTTCTATCCAAACCTGTCCACTACAAATAATCTTAAACCAAGAGTTTTTGGGTGCACCTCATATGTCCATATTCATAGTACAGACAGGGGGAAACTTGATCCTAGAGCCTTAAAGTGTGTCTTTGTTGGTTACTCATCCACTCATCGCAAGAGTTCTCGCGCCCGGCGAGACTCAACCCGAGAGCACCAAGGCTCTCACGCGCCTGGCGCAATTCCAAATTACGCCCAGCGCCTGCCTGGCAGAGACTCAAGGAGTCTCGTGCGCTCTGCGTGGCCTAACCCGCGCCCAGCGTGGGGAAGGCAGAGACCTACCAAGGTCTCGCGCCCGGCGCAATTCGCATTGCGCCCGATGTGCTCTTGGCAGAGACTCCCAAGGAGCCTCCGTGCCCAGCGAGTCCAAACGTGCGCCTAGTGCGGCACCAAAGTATCCCAAAACATGTTACCCTTGATATCGCGCCCGGCGCAGCTCGAGTCACGCTCGGCGCGGGCCACCCAGACACTCCCATTTGCAAGCTCGCCCAGCGCACACAGCCTTGCGCC